ATATATATTGTAATATATCTATATCACTAAAGCACTTCTGGATGGATGCAAACTGCATTTCGTTGCCCTGTACCTGTGCATGTGCAATGACAATAAAGTTGAATTCTATTCTATTCTATTCTATTCACAAGAGTGAAAATCAGGATTGTTTCAGTTGTTAGACCATACAGAGTGTAAAGGTGGACGTAGCTACTGTGACGTAAATCTTTACATAGCAGCAAGATGTGCTCCGTCATAATGTGTTTTTGATGCGATGCTGCAGCACGTGGGTGTCAGTTTTCCTGTAAAACAGTTTTTTCTTTTACGTTTTCTGGTTTTAATGACAGCAGCTCTGCAGATGAAGATGAAGCGACTCTCACTATTTTGCAGACTTCTCTGCAGTTTTTGGGAAACGGCTTTTGGATGATGATGATGAGTTTTCGATTTCCTGCAGATGCCTTGACCTATAAACACAGAAATAGTCTTCCAGGACAAGAATTACAGCTTGTGATGCCATGAAAGGCTTTTTTTTATTCATCACCAACCTTTAAAATCTGATCCAGGCTCTAAAAGCTTTAGACAGCTCCTCTGTTCAACCATCCAGCTTGGTGTAATAACCAGCGTGCACTGACGAGTGGTTACTGAGTGAGTCTGTGTGTGCAGTAACACAGTGCACACAGGGAATATACTTTATGTTAATAATACCCTCCAAATATTTTACAGCTAATATAATGTGCTGTGCGGCACTTTGAAGGAAGAAGCATTCACATTAATTCTCCTTGTGTGTTAAAACCATTAAACGTATTAGGAGCATCTCATCGGCGTCTTTATGTTCAGCTCCTGTTAGGAACTCGTCGTCCCACAAAGACGACTGAATCAGCGTGTCGGGTCAGTCTCATTAACCATGTGAAGAAAGCTTTTCCCTGACAGTCTTTTACGCGAGGTTTTGTCTGCTGTGTTTTCGGCTCAGACATCTTCGTGCTGATTGCCTCGGTGCCGGTGGTGGCGGTGCGTAACCAGGGAAATGTGCTGGCCACGTCCCTGCGCAGCCTGCGCTTCCTGCAGATCCTGCGGATGCTGCGCATGGACCGGAGAGGAGGGACGTGGAAGCTGCTGGGCTCCGCCATCTACGCGCACAGTAAGGTAGGCGTGGACCCGAGCACACTTCCTGCTTCCTGACGTGTGAGCATTTTAAAGGAAGTTGCTGGAAAACATAATTATGGAAATGTGCACTTCTCTGGAAGGAGTCGGCTGTCGCTCTGAGACGACTGAAAGTGCTTGAAGTATCGAGTAAAGTGTAGTGAAGCGCTCACATGAGCTGAAGATGTAAAGAAACTAAACTGGAAGCGATTAGAAAGTTTATGGGAGTTTGCAGGAACTGACTCAGATTTGAAGGTAGCCTCAGGTGGACATTAGAGGAACTGCGGCTGTTGGCTTCATTTCTCAGACCCGGAATCTGCTGCTCAGCTGTGAATGTGTAAATAATGAATTAGAACAGTCTTTTATTGGATTTAAAATAAAAAAAATATCAGCTTCTTTCAAATATTTCCCTGTTTTCTGCAGGAGCTGATCACAGCCTGGTACATCGGCTTCCTGTCTCTCATCCTGGCGTCCTTCCTTGTCTACCTGGTGGAAAAGGATGACGCCTCTGTGAGCATGTCTGACCAGGAGAACCCCACGGCCCAGCCCAAAGAGCAGGACTTTGACACCTACGCTGATGCGCTTTGGTGGGGGCTGGTACGTGCATTAAAAAAACAAGCTCCAAGTTTACGACTAACACTGCACTCAGTGAATTAACATGCATATTGTTGAAATTTTGTTGCTGGAAACAAAAAATCCTGTCTTGAATTCTGCAAATTATTTGTCTGGAAATGATTTTGGCAGCTTAGAGGTGAGAGTAGATTTGGCTGCAGCTCGGTGGACAGATGGTGCCTGGCCAAATCATCAACTGCTAATATTTTGGCTTTAAATCAAATCTGGGATTTCTGCCAAGAGGACAGGAAAAAATCAGGTTTTAGTTTCTAGTAATGTGCCGGTGGAAAGCCTGAGGGTTTCCGGTGAATCCCGTTTGAAAGCTCGCAGAGCTCTGAGCTTTAATGAGGGCCTCTGGCAAGGGAAGCACCAATGCCTCATTAAAGCGACCGTCCTTCAACCAGAGAAGCCAAAAGTTCAAGCTCCATGACAGCGAGCATCTGCGCCGCCAGAATGTCCTCCAACAAGATGTTCCACTGTCACCGCCTGCTTTTCAGGGCGATCCTCTGACTCCGGGAAACACTGAAGAGCCCTTTAACGGATCGATACGAAGGTCACAGAGAGAGATGAGTCTCCACGGAAACATTACTGCAGAAACGAGGACGGCGAGGCTGTTGTGTCGAATTTTAGTGATTTAATTTAAAAGATTTTCTGCCTGTGTTTTATCTTGTGTTTTTCAGATCACACTGACCACCATCGGCTACGGGGACAAAACCCCAAAGACCTGGGCTGGGAGGCTGCTAGCCGGCACCTTCGCTCTGATCGGAGTGTCCTTCTTCGCTTTGCCTGCAGTGAGTGCGCTCTCCTCTACACACCGCTGCTGATGGTGCAGGGTTTCATTTAAGTCCGAATAAATCAATCAATACATACTCATGCTAGGAAATCTGTCTCGTATGAACTGCACAAGTAATTCTGACCTTTTTATTTATGAAGAAAAAATGTGCAACACAAGTTGATTGTAACACTTTAATGCTAGATTATTAGTAAGTTTCGCCTCTTTCAGTATAAGAAAACAGTCATTTCTCTCCCGGGGCATCAGTTAGTGCCGTGATATCAACCACTGGTGTCACTCGTTTATACACCAGGCGTCCTCTGGTCCCGGGGTTATGATGTGTCACTCTCTACCTTCTTACTGTGCAGGGCTATTGTTAATAAAGAGCCTTACTTTACACCCACAGTTTACCGACACTCGACCAAGTGAAAGCAGGTCTCAGTGGGACTCGAACCAGAGCCTCCACATTCTGGAAGCATCAGTTACTCTGCGATGAGAACATGTGGGTAAAACATGTTCCCACTGAAGGTTATCAGCTGTAATCAGTCCCATGGATACAGCTAGCAGAGCACCGCCCTGCACCTCCTTAATGACCAGGAGGTCATGTGTTTGCATGTATGTGATACACGAGCAGCCGAGTGAATAAGTACGTGTAAAACATCTGCTTGCGTTGGTTGATGTGGACAAAGGAGGACTTTTGAGCCAAGCTGTGACCTTTTGCTAACCCTCACCAAGATAAAGGCGAGGTGTTAACATTTTGCTCGGCACTGGCGTCCGACAGCACGACAGGAGCACTGAGCGACGTGTTTTCTGTTTTTATGGCTGCAGGGTATTCTGGGCTCGGGCCTGGCTCTGAAGGTCCAGGAGCAGCACAGACAGAAGCACTTTGAGAAGCGCAGACATCCGGCTGCAGGCCTCATCCAGGTGAGACGCTACCTGACGGCATCGGCATCTTTCTGCGTGGTCCAGCTGAGACTTTCTATGTTTTCTGGACTCAGTTAAGCTGAGCGCTGTTATAACTTCTGGTTGATCTCCTGTCTTCCCATCTCAAGTCTGCCTGGAGATATTATTCCACCAATCCAATCAGGGAAGACCTTATTGCCACTTGGAGGTTTTACGAAACTGTCATCTCTCTTCCCTGTTTCAGGTAAGTACCACAAAACACAACAGTTACTTTTATAGTCCTCGTGCATTACCTTAAGTTTGCAAACAACATTAAATATGTTGTTTTTTGTTTGCATCTGCAGATTTGACACTAAGTTGATTGACCTGGAGAGGTTTACTTTTAGATTTCTTTGAGTAAGAAGCAAAAGAACTCAAATTAAAATTTTCATTAAAGATTAAACATAAAAGACGAATCAGCTGTTTGCTCTATTTTGGAACATCAACCAAGAAAAATGCACTCGGTGGATTTCAAAATGAGGATTTTTGTCGTGCTTTGGTCCTCTTCTGACTTTTAGTCTTTATCAAAGGATATTTAAATCCTACGTTGCATGCAGATACCTGATTTTGATCCTTTCCTCTCTCCCCGTCCACAGGAAGGACACCTTGGAGGTCATGGCGAGGTAGGTCACCGTTTGGTGTCCATGCAGAGACACAGTTAATCACACAGAGCTGTGTCTAAAGTAAATGCTTTCTGACGGGGCTTTAATTAGCCCCACATGCTGGAGAGACTAATGAACATTTCCTAGAATATCTCACCCTGCGCGCCTTTAAATAGCTTCCTGTATTAATTCACCAGTCGGATAAATCTCGGGGCTAATGGCCGTGGGACGTATGAATTTTGAACGCCCACGCGTCCCTCTGCCTTCCACATCAGCTGCTTTAATGACATTTAAGCTGAGAGGTTTCTGTGGAAACCTATTAGCGAGTCCATTAGTTGTGTTTCAATTATGAGTGACAGTTTAGATCTTGTAATTAGGGCCTCAGAAGAGGTCTATGGGTTTGACTTTTCATTTTTCTCCGTCCTGCTGAGCGACATTAATGAGTCTCCACATCAAAAAGTGTTGTGAAACTCCGACTGAGGCTTTCGGTTTGAGGAGCAGATTGAACTTGAGCTGCTGCAGATGTGTCACCGCGGTTATCGACATATAATGATATAATGAGGTAATTTAATCAAAGTCCTGCAAAAGACACAGAAGCAGCACAGACTGACTGAGTGGCATTAGCACATGTGAAGTCAGTGACACCTGTCTGCTCACCTGTTAGTCATAGCAGCCACTTGTCTAACCTTGGTCTTGGTTGTTTGCATATGGACACAGTATAAAAACAAATCACCCAGTGCACAGGTGAAAAGGTCTCACCTGCTACCCAAGGCCTCAGTCACACAGGCATAGAGACCACTCTGCGACCACCATCAACCTCTGGTCACTGGGCAGCTGGTGAG